ATTTTTACAGAAAATTATACGTCAGAAAGGTGTTGTTCTACAATTTAAAAGTACCAACAGACTAAAAGCTGTGTATTCTCGAGTTTTCATAGCAACCCGAGCATACACTGAAGAAAAGGATTAATTAGTGTCAAAAAATTACCCAAACAGGTTAAAAACTAGGTAAAGTAACACTCCTTCACCGTTCACAAGTATAGGGAGGAGAAGAGTGCTCGACTCTGATTAAGACTTCGGTTAAATATGCGCCATCTATAGCTGCTTGTATCAACCTGACACACACCTAGCTTATGGTTAGCCTTGACAAGGTGCTGGTGAAAATGTAGTTCGGGGGGAGCACCCTATGTAATCGAAGTGGAGTAGCGGAAGATACTCATATCTGATCAAATTAATAGTTGCGGGAAGGCACTCATATCTTATCCATACCTTTCATTGAGTAAGCGGCAAAGGACCAGTTCGTTACACTTGTTACCCTTGCCCTATGGCGAAAACGGCTGTCTACTTGTTGACTCTTCACTTTCAACAACCCTTCTTGCGACTGCCATGCAAGCCCTTGGTGAAAGGGCCTTTCAGGTATCCGATTTTGTCCGGAATCCCGGGTTGGTATCCCTATCTAATCGTGCACTCAGAGCCTGTGCTCTGAATGTTGATTAGATATGACCGCCCTTCCGCACTCCACTTCGATTAGATATTGCCATTTTGATAAGATATTATGAGTGGCTCCCCCGAACTACATTTCACCGGTGCTGAATTCTTAGGGGCCAATAGAAAATCAATCGTTGCGCTTATAGACGAAGTTTTTGTCTAATAATCGACCCTGAGAGTCCGCCGGATAGACGGCATGGAATTGACTAGATCTATGCAATAGTTCGGCACTTTTTCAAGTTCTCTCCACCTTCTTCTCGCTCCATTTGCAGCTTTTTCTCTGCCATAACAAGATTAGCGGCAGCTAGCATACAGCTTCGACAAAGAGGGACAATTCATTTTCAACAGTAATTCTCCCTCACTTGTTGGCCTTTTGGGAATCACGACTGAGAATGGAGCGCTGTAGAAAAGATTCATAGCACCCACTTGATGGGTCAGTCCTCATACTCAAAATTTCTTCTCGTTTCACTTCTGAAACGTTTGATTGGGGCTCTCCTGAGCTTTAACTCATTTTTTCCGAATCGGAAGGTGTAATGACATACCTTCTCCAATCTGGCTTTCTTTTCGGCAGGATCTAGACCTCGTAAATTGCTTGGAACATACCAGAAGCAAATGTTCAAAAACTCGGGCTGCAATTAATAGGCTTTTAATTGAGAACTGGTATAGGCTGTTAGAATAAAGATATTTTCTCACTGGATCAACAACAAGTTCGTATCCGTCTGTTTCACGAATCCTTTGAGTGAAGTATGCTGGCAATCATTAATGCTGTTAGTTTGCTGTCTGTAGCCTTCCATTCCCTGAACAAAAACGCCAGTGATTTCAGGTACGCTTTATTTTATGCTGAGGTACAAACATAAGATTGAGAATTAGGGCTCAGAACGACCATCGCCTCCCTTTCTCGTTTACAATACTTAAAGTTACCTAAAGTTTGGCTCCTACCGTGTAGGAGCCCTATCATGGTCACATGTGAGCCTAAGCAGAGTTCGCGAGTGGGCATTGGTCAAATACTTGATGTCTTAGAAAAAATAAGCTCTCTAAAGAGCATAGTTCATGCTGCTGCGAAATATTCAACAAAATAACCAAAAATGCAAGAATCAATCCAAGATCAACCCTCCTCCTCCTCTCACTGCAATACAACCCCTCTACACTAGCTGCCATGTGAATTTTGGATACAACTCCTTCTTACCATCACCTGCATGCAAAAACTAAAAAATTCCGTCCACAGACGTTGCCCTTTGGCCGCACTTGTTCTGACACCTCATTGAAGACACCACAATCAGAAGTCCTCAAACTAGCTGAAATGATTTGCAGTACAACCCAATATTTTTTATTTTTAAGTAGCGTCATTCCACTCTGACCTTACTCTTCCACATCAGCCACAATTTGAATACGTCGTTATGGCGTCCACATTGAATTGCTTTGTCACCGGTATCATAGCTGACATCATAGGGTTTATCCTGCATGAACAGATAGTCGGCCGACATCTGATTGCATTGGAAGAGCAGTCCCTAAACGCTAGATTGTCCTTGAAAAATCGTTGAGCGAAAAAAAGCTGAAACTGAGACAGTAGACATGTCTTGTTTCGTGATGATCTGTTTTTAATAAAGGAAGTTTTCCTTACTTTGCTAGTAATTTTGAATGGTTCACAGCGTAAGAATATTTCATATAGCTGAACAAGAACTTCCAAATATGCATAGCGAAGTTAATAGTGAAGGTTATCATGATATTCTAAAGACTCCTAAACAGTCTCTCCCCTAAACAAAACTATGAAGAATTGTTCATTCTCCATTTTTTTTACCTGTACATCCTATGTATCTGCAATCCATGGCTGATTCCAAGATCTTAATAAATTTTCTATATGTTCAATTTGTAGATATACACATACAGATGGACACTGGCCTTTGGGAATCACGACTGAGAATGGAGCGCTGTAGAAAAGATTCATAGCACCCACTTGATGGGTCAGTCCTCATACTCAAAATTTCTTCTCGTTTCACTTCTGAAACGTTTGATTGGGGCTCTCCTGAGCTTTAACTCATTTTTTCCGAATCGGAAGGTGTAATGACATACCTTCTCCAATCTGGCTTTCTTTTCGGCAGGATCTAGACCTCGTAAATTGCTTGGAACATACCAGAAGCAAATGTTCAAAAACTCGGGCTGCAATTAATAGGCTTTTAATTGAGAACTGGTATAGGCTGTTAGAATAAAGATATTTTCTCACTGGATCAACAACAAGTTCGTATCCGTCTGTTTCACGAATCCTCTGAGTGAAGTATGCTGCCAAATCCATTAATCTGTTGATTTGCTGTCTGTAACCTTCCATTCCCTGAACAAAAACGCCAGTGATTTCAGGTATGCTTTATTTTATGCTAAGGTACAAACATAAGATTGAGAATTAGGGCTCAGAACGACCATCGCCTCCCTTTCTCGTTTACAATACTTAAAGTTACCTAAAGTTTGGCTCCTACCGTGTAGGAGCCCTATCATGGTCACATGTGAGCCTAAGCAGAGTTCGCGAGTGGGCATTGGTCAAATATTTGATGTCTTAGAAAAAATAAGCTCTCTAAATGAGCATAGTTCATGCTGCTGCGAAATATTCAACAAAATAACCAAAAATGCAAGAATCAATCCAAGATCAACCCTCCTCCTCCTCTCACTGCAATACAACCCCTCTACACTAGCTGCCATGTGAATTTTGGATACAACTCCTTCTTACCATCACCTGCATGCAAAAACTAAAAATCGGTCAGACAGACGATTTTCCCTTTGTTCAACTTGTTTCTAAACAACATCATGGAACAAATCACAAGAGGAAGTCCTCCAAGGCCAACTGGAGTGATTTGCAGTACAGCCAATATTTCAATTTTTGATCCGTTCTAGCTCTGACCTTACTCTTCCACATCAGCCACAATTTGAACACGTCGTTATGGCGTCCACATTGAATTGCTTTGTCACCGGTATCATAAGCTGACATCATAGGGTTTATCCTGCATGAACAGATAGTCGGCTGACATCTGATTGCATTGGAAGAGCAGTCCCTAAACGCTAGATTGTACTTGAAAAATCGTCAACCCGAAAAAGCTGAAACTGAAACAACAACGTGTTAACGGTTTCTGAATGATCTTTTACTTTAATAAGGGAAGTTTTCCGGTACTTTTGGTAGCTTTT